AAAAGAAGAGTGACTTGGAAAGACTTTTTATCTTGGATTTGCAAAAGGAATGTGTTGAATCGGTGAGGGTGTTCCTGGGAAGAGACAAAGAGAAACTACTGGGGCTGTTTCTGGGAGAAGACAAGGAGAGAATGACAGGGAATCAATTTGTGGGACGCTATTTGAAAGGATTAAAGATTAAGCTGTTTAAAAATAAACAAAAGGTTTATAAAGTGAACTTATTTAATAATGGTTGAGGTTTTTGGTAGTTATTAACGAGATCTTTTTCTCACCAGGATTGAATGACAAGGTTTTAAGGATCTGTGTATAAAGGGGAAGAGATTTCATTTGCTTTTTTTTTTTTCTTAGAGAAAATTATAAATTGGATTATAAAACAGGTTATAAAATAACCTTTTGACTAAGATTAAAATACATTTGTTATTAAAGTTATGGAATTTTTATTCTTATATATGATAACTGTAGTAAGGTTTTTTATATGTACAAAGGAGGAAGGATATGACATTACCTACAATGGAAGAATGAATGGTGAAGCTGTAGTTGTCAGAACCTTTAAAATAATCCTTACAAAGTAGTTGATTTTAAGTAATCATTCCAGACTCTGCCCATACTTTCCAATAAAACATCTTACAAGTAGAGTTTTTCCATAGTGGTAAATATTTGTGAGACTCAGTATCAAAACTTGATCTATATCCCAATGAGGCCCAAATAGTCTAGCTGCAAGCAAAACGGGAAATAAAATACCTTTTTTGCTATATGCTGACCTGAGTAATTGCCAAGATCTTAACAGAGACATAATGCTGACTGAGACTCATAACAGAGTCAAGAATGCTGTCTGATGGCTAGAGACAGGTTTGGTTTCCGTGGGTGCCAAAGCCTGGCACTATCTCATTAATTTCATTTCTTAAATTAAAAATAATTTAAATTATTTTTTCCCTATGGATCTGGCCCCACTGGTTCTCAGAAACCATTTTAAAACAACTTGGCTAAAAAGAGCTCATAGCAAACTCCAGTTTGTAGGTCTCACTTTGGATAGCCTCTGCCCATTAGGGTTTGAAAATGCCAGGTATTATAATAAGCAGCATACCTGGGATATTGATTTCCAAACCAGTTTTAAGCTTGGTATGGAATCCCACAGTCCATGGATTTATTTTTCAAAGGGGTATGTGCTATCATCTTATCTTTCCTCCATTCCTGTTCTGAAATTTTGCTAGATCTTCACCTTAGCCAAGTTGGATACACTACCCTCTGCAGTCCTGTGGGGACATAATAAAAATCTCCCTCCACATGACCGTTTCTGCGTGTGTGCCCCACATGCTCCTCTGTTGCTCCCTGTACATGGAATCCCAGATGGCATCTATCTATCCCATTCTAGAGACATATATGGCGGAGAGTATGAAGCTTATCCACCACTTCTTCTGTCTGACCAGGACTCTGATGTATCCTCCCAGGTTGCTTGATTCTGTGCCTCTGTTCTATTCATCCCACCTACAACTGAAGAATATTATCTACATTATTTTTATTATTATTGTTATGTTATGCTTATTTTTATTGATATCTATACATTTTAGGTGTATGTGTTTATATTTAAACTTGATATACATATTTCATGTATATTGTAAATAAATAAAGTGTTTTCTGGTTCTAAAGCTGTAATAAAGATAAAGAAGAGATACATAATAACTTTTCAATAAAGTCCATAATGGTTTGATATTCAGTTAAATTCTCATTCCGCATAAATATAGATGATAAAATAAATGCCCAATATTATTTTGAAAGTCTGGTAAAGGAAAACCTCCTTTATGAAGAGATAATCTCAATTTCGCCAGTTAGATTCTTAACAGTCTATCTTGCCATGTGAATTTCTTCAGGAGTATCAATCTGAATAAAATTTCTATTTGTAATTAAAATATATATCAATCAAGGAGAAATATTTACTTTAACAACATTAATCTTACCCTACTAACTTTACTTAACTAATTTCTCCTACTAACTTAATCTTACTCTACTAACTCCCCCCCCTCCCAAAGTTGAGGTTGGCCCTAACCCTGTTGGCCTTCAGAAAGGCCCTTAAAACATGGCTTTGTCAACTAGGTTGGGGATCCCAAGGTAGAGTGCAGCCTGTTAGGTGGCTATGTGACAGTTAATGGAATGCACCCTCTGTATGTTTTCCTGTCATTTTCTTTTATCTTGTTTTCGTTTTAATCTAAATTGTTTGTTTTAATGGTTTTATATACAGTGGTACCTTGGTTCACAAACTTAATTCGTTCCACAACTCTGGTCGCAAACCGAATTGGTCGCGAACCAAATCAAATTTTCCCATAAGGTTCAATGTAAATACGGTTAA